AAAAAAAAAAAAAAAAAAAAAAGGTAACACGAATCTTTCCATGAACTTTTTGAAGACCTCTCATGTGTGTATATATATATATATGGTTCTACAAACACACATACATACACACACACACACACACACACACACACACACACACATGCACACAGAGCCTAAGGATTACTATAAAGACAAGAAGACACCTATTTATGGGCCTTAATTGATGATCTAAAGTCCACTACTTTAAATGCAGTAGCACCTATAGTTACAAGCTTCGAATGCACAAGTTGGTGTGAATTTCAATCTTACGTTTTTATCAAGGACACATGTCTAGTGAACACATTAACCTTTTGATTTCCACATATCAACATTTAAAGTTTTATATAGGCTAAAACACAGCCATTCTGCAGAGAGCTCTACTGTTCTTTGATGCAGATAGTTGGTTGTCTTCAGTGTTTAGATATTTCATTTTTATAATTCTACATTATTTTCACATGTATACTCATGCAAACCCATACATTCAGACTAATATAGCCACGAAAAGTGAAACCTACTCTGAATAAACAACCAAGAATACATTTACATAATGAGAGGAATAGTAGGTCATTTAGTTTATAAACACTTATATTTTGAGACCATTAAGGACATTCAAGTCAACCACTATAGACAAAAATCTAACAAAAAAGATCTGTATTGAGGGTTTATTACACATTTTGTTTTGACTTATTTTCCCTCTATTCTAGTCCACCTCCACCCAGCAATAGCAACTAGATGACATATAGAGTTCCTTTCAGCTCTCAATATTTTTGCTCTGCAAGTTAAAGATCTATGATTAACACACTCTTTTGTCACCATGGTCTAAAAGCAAACTAGTTTTAAAATAAGATCTGTTTCTATACAAGTGGGGCAGAAAAAAAAAAAGAGTTGAGGATCTTAATGTATCAAATGTAAATGATTAGTTGGTAATGTAATGCTTATGTTAATTTTTCAGAAGAAAGGTAAAGTAAGCTGCTTACTAGAATAAGAGTTGAGGATCTTAATGTATCAAATGTAAATGATTAGTCGGTAATGTAATGCTTATGTTAATTTTTCAGAAGAAAGGTAAAGTAAGCTGCTTACTAGAATATATAAAGAGAAATGTCACGTGAGGAACCAGAGCTAAATGTGAATCAGAAGTGAATTCTGTCTGCTGGATGAGCCACTCATTGACCTTGCCTTGTAACTACTAATCAAAGCTTCCTGTTAGCCCTGGGCAATTTTCAAGCAAACTTAATGAAACAGTTATACATGTAAGAAATTTAAGCCCAATCTGAGACAGTAAGACTAATTTTCTAATAGTGAGGGTGTGATGTTATCCCCTGCAACACCTGGATACAATATAGAAACTTATAACAAACATTCTCCCAAAGAGCAATAGTTATTACCATTCCACCAGTGTGCAGACGGACATCACTGCAGCATACAGCATCAGTAGGAATTTCCCCCCAAATTTTATCCCAAAGTTATTAAATATAGGAATTTTTTTAATAAGAAGAAACCAGAATCTTCATGTCATGAGTCTTTAATAATAAGCCATTTCACAGCTCCAGGAGTTTTGAAGTGAACACATCTCATCTGGTAGCCCCTCACCCCCAGCCTGCCAGAGTCTGTGCAAGTGAAACCTATGAGTCTGTCTTACCTGTAATCTGACTCTGTCCTTGTGGATTAAAAGGACTTGGTGCAGAGTTCAGGGAGGGCCGTGGGTTCTGAGGCGGGACACCTACTCTCATACTGGGATGAGGAATGCGCCCTAAATCACTGAGGCGGTCAGAGAACAAACTAGGTTTAGAGTCATCAAGCTTCTGTCTGTGCCCTGGAAACAGCAAATCATAAAATAAAAGCATATTAATTAGCTGAACAATTGACCATGCTAAATAGATATGTGAACATACATACTGGGGGTTTAATCCAAGGAATTATCAATACTGATTTATAATGATGTGTCTATATAATGTCTTCCGTTTCAAATTGCTTTATAAAGATTATCTGGTGGCAAGCATTCTTAGTTCTGTTTTATAAATGGAGAGCTGAGGGTCCAGAGGGTGACTTGGGATCAAGCCTGAGTACAGAAAGTGGAAACAAGAGCTCAAGAGGAGCTCTTTGGGCTATTCTTCTAGCCCTCTCCGTGAAACTGGGAAGGTGAGTGTGTATTGGGGCATGTTTGCTTATTTGTGATGGAGGAAACCTCCTCTGAAAGTTCAGAGAGTCCAGGCATGTTAGACTTACTGTTACAAAGCTGGGGCAGAAACAGAGACAAACATATTCGTCAAAGGGAAATTTCCACAATGACCATAGTGATTTTTTTCTTTTTTATGTTACAACTATCCCTTATTGCGAACCTTTTCTGAAAAATTCAAACTCAAAACTAGAATGTCTTGAAGAGATAAAAAATAGAAATGAAGACAAGGAAACTCAAATTCTCAAGAGGAATCTGGATATATTGTGTTATGTCAAAGCCCCAAAACATACAATAAACTGTTAAATCAGATGGAATGCTTTTTTATTTTAAATCTATTACTCTGGTTTTGCAAAAGAAACTAAAAAATACTCTTTGAGTAAACATGTGAATGTGACAATTCATTAATTTTTTTTAAAAGTTTCTATCTCTCTTCTAGTTTATCCAAGTTTAAACCCTAAAGAAATTCTGGATATTAAAGTAATATGAAAATTAAAATATAGCAAGGTACTAAAAATTCTTTAAAAGCATCAGATCATCCTTAACAAAGAAAAAGTTTCTATCTCTCTTCTAGTTTATCCAAGTTTAAACCCTAAAGAAATTCTGGATATTAAAGTAATATAAAAATTAAAATATAGCAAGGTACTAAAAATTCTTTAAAAGCATCAGATCATCCTTAACAAAGGTGTATAATAGTGGCTTGGTGCAATATAACAGAAAAACATCTGCATCTGGGCATGATATAGTTAAGTGTAAATCTGTAGAGTGGTGCTGTGGTAAACAGGTACAATGCCTAATGCATAAACAAAAATATACTGTGGATTTCTTCCTCCACATTCTGTACCAGTGAGGCCCTCATATGTTGCTCCAATATTTTAGTAAAAATGTTGTTACTAAGGTTGATTCAAAAAAGAGCCATTAATATGATGAATGATTAAGAATTTGCCCTTTTTTAGGATTATTATCCATAAAAGAAAAAAAACCTTGAAGGAGGATTATTAAAAGTCTTCAAGAATTTAGTTCTTCACTACTAAATTGGTAGTGCAAACACCTTGTCTTAAGAGGACATGAGGAATGTATCAGGATAGGGTTAAGTTGAACATTCGAATTTCCAAACTATAAGCTGTCTTCGCAAGACAAATTCCTTATTTTATTTGCCCCAAAATGTATTTTCCTGTCTCCTTTTTCATTGCCTACCCAGCCCAAAGAAAACAGACAGGAAGCCAAGGCTTGGTAATATGAGTGTAGCTGTCTCCACAGCCAAACATGTTCCAACTAGGCCCATTAACTGAAATGCACCCACCACCCTATTTCCTGCTAGTGCAAGTTTTGGGCATCTGCTGTAAGAGGGGAACTAGACCTGAGAGAAAAATGATCACAAAAAACTAGGGAAACTCATTATTTGTCACAACTGTTGTTTTCCTTACCATTTATGATCTTTTATCCAGATTACAAATAAATTTTAGAACCCTAAGAGACTTTTAGAGATGACCCAAAACGGCTCCTGGACCCTGGCAAGTAAGGTGTTCATAGATGAAGTGACTAAGGCCCGCATAAGTAGGACAACTAGGCTGTGGTCCTCAGCTATTGAACTAGCTCAGCCTGAACTAAGATACGGCCCTAGTACGAGTTAAATGAGCTTTCCATTCATCATGTGGCATCATCATTGTCAGCATTCTGGCTTTCTCTTCCCTTTGTCTCCTAGCTGCTATGGAGAACTGAACATATCCAGATCACACAGAGTGAGACACCCAAGAACTGAGCCCAGTTGGGTGCCAAGGCTGGTTTTCAACTTAAGCAGAAGTAGTAGCAAGGATTCAATTACAAAGTTTATAACTCACCCATTACCCTAAACAAATGGCTGTAGCCTAATTCACCAAACTCCCATCAATACATCTTGCTGGGTCTAAACCAATTAGGGAATTATATAGTACTTGTCAGTTATATCCATGGATTCTGTTACACACGCACACACACACACACACACACACACACACACACACAAGTATTGGTGTGGTGTTGAAACAGCTGTAAACATTAACAAGAAAGCTTATAGAATTGTCCCTGGAAGTTATTTTTTTTAATAGGCCTTAACAAGAAAGCTTATGGAATTGTCCCTGGAAGTTATTTTTTTTAATAGGCCGTATTTTTGGAATGGCAGATTCCCTGAGGGCAAGGGGGAGGGCTACATGATCTTGTATGGTTCCTTTATACACCGGGACTTTATATGGGCCATGGGCCATGGGCCACAAGAAAATTTAATAAGCTTTGCCTCTGCTTTCTACAGTCTTTTCATTGGGACTTTATATGGGCCATGGGCCACAAGAAAATTTAATAAGCTTTGCCTCTGCTTTCTACAGTCTTTTCATTAGGTTTTCAGCAAGACTGTATGAGATATGAGCTCAGTGTGTGGATGCGTGAGTACATTTTTAAGTACATTTTAATTTTCTCTTATCCCAATGCTTTAGGGAGTCTTAGGAAGTTGTATACAAGAATGAAGGACTTGGAATAGCACTGGTAAGAGTGAAAAATTTAAGAGCAGGTGACATTTTAAAAGCCACATTGACCTTTTGGAAATTATCTTCTAAGAGAGCTACTAAGTAACTACAGACATCCTAAAATAGTTCAGGGAAGATTTATCTGTGGATGCATACATACAAAAACATATGCATTTTTCCTTGTAGATATCTTCCCCTTCATAGCCACCACCATAACCCCAACAAAATTCTTGCGGTACAATGAAGAGCAAAAGCTAAACAGGTTCTTGGTCTTTCAACTGTGACAAATACCCACTACCACTAAACCACATCAGGGTAACACTCGAATGATGAACTGAAAGAAGATGTACTTAAATCCTCAGCACCCAAGCAATCCTTTCAGAAATCAAGGATACTGGAGACAAAGGTCACAATGATTTAAATGAAGGGCAGGGTACCCTGCCATGGTGGAGGGAAAACTAAACCTCATCCAAAGGGCCAAAGAGAACATCCTCCAAGCAGGAGGAAGGTATAAAGAATGGAAAACATTCCTGTTATCCTTGAGACTCTTACATAAAAGTTCAGTCCTGGATCCTCTTCTCTAGCTACAATTTCTCCCTAGAACAGTGGTCCTTCCACTAGACTAGATAAAAAAAAAAATCCCCTACAGAGCTTTGAAAAATATGGATATCCAGGTCCCACATTGGATCAATTAAATCAGAATTTCTGGTAGTGGGTCCTGGGGGAAAGTTATTTTTTAAAAGCTCATCACATAATCCAGTGTACAGCCAGGGTAGAGAACCACTGCCAAAGATGCTCTCAATCCCATGCACTAAATGCCACCTATCACCCCAATGGCTCCCCCATTTCTGGGTTGACCCCTGACCTCAGTCCTGAGTTCCAGGTTTGTGTCCCTCTGCCTACTTGACATCTTCCCGGGGATATCTCAAAGATATCTTAAATGCAGTATGTTCAAGATAGAATTCCTGATTCTTCCCTCCAGAAAAACTTATTCCTCCCTAACAGTCCCCATCTCAGTAAATGGGACCATTCACTCAGTTGCTTAAGCCAAAAACATAGACATTTTCCTTGATGTCTCTTTATCCCTCACTCTCCACATTCAATACTTTACCAAGTCCTGTCATTTCTATCTCGACACTTTATCTCAAATCTATTCAATTCTCTCCATTTCTACAACTCTAGTTCAAGACCTATCATCTTTCTCTGAGCATCTGACACTGTTTCCTTTTCAGTTTCCCATCTGGGACCTTTCCATATACCTAGAATGCTCTCCTCCTGATTCTTTGTAGGGCCCACTTCTTCTTATTGCTTAGACCTCAGGGTGAACGCACCTCCTATAACAGGCCTTGCCTGTCTCCCGTAACCAAAGTAGGTTCCCACCCCCTCAAGTACACCCTCTTTATTTCCTTTACAGCAGTTACCAATTACCTTGTGTGTATTTATTTGTCCCGATAATGAGGGCCCTGTCTTATTTACAGCTATATGCTATAATCTAGTTCAATGCCTGCCAGACGGTAGGTGCTCAAATAAATACTTATGCAATAAATAGATGAATGAATATTCTCCTCTTTTAGATAAGTGAGACACTATCTTTCCCCCAAAAAACTCTTTTCTTCTTATTTGGCAATCTGGTAAATACAGTGGGCAAAAACTTTCTTTAGAGACAAGCCTTTTTGGTGCTTCCTGTGAAATTTTACTGAAGGACATTCATTTTAGTAAAAACTTTCTTTCTTTCTGAAAAATTCCATTTGTTCTCTCTGTAATTCTTAAGTATTGTTGAAAGTCATTTAGAATCAGAGAGCTGAAAAGGGCAATAGAAATCATTTAGACTCTAAATTTTAGAGCAATGTACTTCTTTTATGGATGAGGACCTGCCCAAAGTCACATAGTTAGTGGCAGGACTAGAACTCAGAGTTCCTCATTGCTGGTCCAGGGCTCTTTCTCTCCCATTGCCAACTAGCTTATTTTAGATCATAACAGTGTGGCAGCAGTCATTCAGGGGAAATCATGATCAAAAATGAATTTAAAATGGAAAATAAAAAAGTAGTTTTCAGAAAACATTTCTTTCAAAAAGTTGAGTGTGTTTGGCTGAATATGACTTTTGTTGCAATAAATTCAGGGGCACAAGAAGAAAGCATG